TTTTTTTTTTTTTTTTTTTAAATCGGTGTATACCTAAAATACTTTTTTTTTTCTTTTTTTTTTCCTTGCTCAGTATACCTCAACACCTGATCCAAACATCAGGCATTATTCTCGTAAAAAAATAAAGATAAAAAAAACAAAAATACATAAAGAAAAAACCTTTTGATTAAAAGTCAAAAATTCTAAATTTAAAATAATCCTTTAAGAATATGGAGTAATTCCGAAAATATGATTGATATGTAAAGTTAAAACCACTTCACTCATCAGAAACCTTAATCAATAAGAAAAAAAAATCATAACCAACCTAGATAATCACTCCCAAAAGTGATTTCTATCAAAAAAAAGAAAAGAAAAAGAAAAAAACTTGAAATCTATCACTACCCAAATTAAAGTCCAGTAAAAAAATTTTAAATATCATCAGAAAAATAAAAATTAAAATATATTATAAAAATTACTTCACAAAAAAATATTACTAATTTTTTTTCGTTTTTGGATTTGTAATTCAAATGTATTGTGAAATTGGAAAGGAAAATAATTCATTTTTAATGTTTCGATAAATTTAATAAATAAAATGGTACAAACCATCCGTCAATGGAATATCTTCATTCATTTCGAACAATCAGTCAATCAATTAAAGTAAAATAGCATTTGAACAAATTATGATGGAATTCATTTAGAACGAATCTTTCAATTCATTCACATATTCCTTAAGCAAGCATTAAATTGATAATGATAAGTTTCATCATGATAAAAGTTAAGATACTCAGACTTTTACTTTTAGCCATTATTCACTTATTTTTTTTTTTCTCTAGCAATGAATTACTCTCAATGTTTGTTTCAATTATCAACTATGACTATTTTCATAATTTTCTCACTGCATCGTAGCATTATTTTTCATTAATTTCTATCAGTCTTTGATATCTCTTTCGGAAAAATACAATTTTATACCATTTCTCTTACTACACTACGTAAAACTGTTTACATCAATTCTTAAATCGCTACCCTCATACTATTTCAACGAAACAGATCTCCCGCACCCCCTTACAAAATATGCCAATTCTAAAAGTGTTGCATAATAACCGCATGCGACAATTTGTGAGATTTTATTTCCCAGGATATTTAAGACATTAGTAATCCGTTTTCATCCATATTTTTAATTGTTTCTCCTTTGATGAGCCATTGATTTTGTAATTCTTATCATTAAATGATACAAGAATCATTCAAAAGAATGCGCTTTTTGGTTTTTTGTCGATTTGCATTTGAAACTTTTGTAATTTAATTATATCCACTTCAGTATTTTTCTGCTTGATTTTCATTTCAAAATGAATAGCTGTCGCCACTTATTAGTATATCTTTAGCAGTAACTGTGAAGTAATTGTTACAAATCACGATTATTCGGGAGTTTTTCATAATCATAGGTTACTGTGAACGTAAGCAGTTACCGCTCGTAATACTCACATAGCGGTTGTAGCCCTAATGAAATTATGACGATTTTTTGGCGATAATCTGGATAGTTTGTGAATAATAATTCCTTAAGGACCGTAGTGATGACGAAATAGTTCTAGCAATTTTTATAGATATACTCGGATTATTCACATGATATTCGTCTACTAATAATAGATTTTACGTTTATTTCAGATGGCATCGAAATTTTACAAACGGTTCCTTCGGTTAGCTTCACGTTGGCCACAACATCCCGAAAATTTGCAGCCAGCGAATCGAGATGCGTCGGTATTCTTGAAGAATGAAATAGAAAGAATATTTC